ATCTATGGGAGATCTCAACACAATCCGTTCTTCAGATTTATTTATACATTACTGTAAGACAAAATTTAAAAAAAAAAATAAACTTTTAGAACTTGCTAAAAATTGCCTTGCAACCCATACATTGGGAACTTCTTAACAAGAAATAAAGCAAATTTATTTAGGAAATGAAAGCAAAGTCTAAAATGAAATTATCACTATGTAAATATAAAATTTTTCATACTAAAAGAATATGCAGATATAGAACAAATTGGTAAGATATTCTGAGAGCCTACAGAGTATATATATTAAAAAAAAATGCATGAGGTCAACAACATTCCCACATTAATAAAACAGTAATTCCAAAAGTAACATCTATTTTTTCCAGAAACACCAACAAACATTAATTTTTTTTTTTTAATGTTTATATAATTTTTTCTAAATAATTGCCATTTTAGTCAATTCATTTTTTTTTCGGTGCTGTGGCAGTTTTTGTATGCTCATATCTCATACCAGTTCGCCACCACATCATTAAGGAAGCATTGAACCAAAACACAGAGATTATCCAGAATGATGTGCCAATCTTCACACATAGTTGTGAAATATTTCAAGAAGCAAAAGGCTTTAGTAACCTACCGTTCTCAAAAAATTTCATTACTTTTAATTTGTAACAGTGTTGAAAAATATTAACTTGACCAACTATTCATCTGGTTTCTAATTTTAAAAATTCTTATTATAGTAAAGCGACCACACGTCCCGATTTTGGCGGGACAGTCCCGCTTTTTAAAAAACATCTGCATTTATTTTAAATGTACTGTAAAAATATATTTTCCATTATTTATTAATTATTATAGTAAATATAAAGAAATAAAAAATACATAAATAAAAAAACACATAAAATGCATGCAGAGTAAACTAAATTAGGCGATGTAACAAGTTAGATTTACTCGGTGGTGTTCGATCATTGCTGTTACGTCTCGTCATGGAATATGTATTGTTAACAGAGGAACAATTATTATTGGTTGAAGGGCTATTTGCTTTCCACACCATAAACCACAACCAATGTTTCAGATCCATTAATTATACGTCGCAAATGATTAAAACATTGTACGACAAAAAATTTGCATATGCAAGAACAAAAACCGAAGCAATTATTTGTAATGATTTTTCACTATACTCGTTTTCACAATTGCAGAAAGAATTAGATAAATGCACAGTTATATCCCTATATTATGATGTTTCCAACCACAAAGATTTAAAATTATATTCCACAATTGTTAGATTTTTTAATCCAGAAACAGGAATTAGAATATTAGATTTTGTTTCATTGCCGGGTTAAATTTCACAAATAATTTTTGATTCAATAAGTACTGTTTTAAAAAAGAATAATTTGAACAATAAAATTATTACCTATTGTAAAGATAACATTAACGCAAATTTTGGTAGAAAAGCTAGAAGAGACATCAATAACGTTTTAACGAAACTTAACCAAATGTTTTTTTCGTTTGAATTAAACCAAAAAATTATTGGAGTAGGTTGTGCAGCGCATATTCTACACAGTACTATTCAAATAGCATCTGACTTTACTTCCAGTGGATGTTGAAAATATTATTACAAAAATTTATCTATATTTTTATATATATATATATTGTGCGTTTTGAAAGTTTGAAGGATTTTTGTGAAAATGCAGAAAACGAATATAAAAGAATTATTGGTTACACAAAAACACAATGGATAGCTTTTTTACCAGCTGCAGATAATATTTAAAAAATATACGAACCATTAAAATCATACTTTTTATCACAAGATAAATGTCCAAGAATATTGCAGCTCTTTTATGAAAATTCCACATCACAAATTTGCCTTCAGTTCATCCACAACCAAGCTAACATTATTTCACAATACTCCGAAAATTATTGAAGGGGAAAAAATTTCACTTGTGGAAGTGTCAAATGAAATCAAAAATTAAAAAACAAAATTGCGAGAAAGAATCGATAACGATTACATTCCTTTAAGTTATTCGAAAGGGCATCACTAGAATGGAAAAACAAGGTGCCATTAAACGACCTGCTTTTCTGAAAGAAGTCAGAAATTTTAATAATAACTGCTTGGAATATCTTGAAGAACGGACAGTTCAATTCGAGGATATTAAAAATTTTCACTGGGTGACATCAAAAAAGGAGATTGTAAGGGAATATGTGGAAAAATCTTTTTAATATATTAGTAACCATTTTCTGAAAAAAAATATTTGCGAAAATGATCTTTTTAATGAAGTTCATAAAAATATACGTTACTGAAGAAAAAATATGTTGGTTGTCTGCAAATGTGGAAACAGACACAAAATGGACAGAGCTATTCCTTCATTTTAAACAGAATAATATTCCTTATGAAAATATTTTGAAAATTGTACAACACGCGCTCTCCCTTCCAGGAGCAAATGTAGCAACAGAACGTGTTTTTTCTAGTATAAAAAAAATATGGACAATTGAAAAAAAATGCAGTCGAACATTAAAACTTTAATATCTGTTTTAAGTCTAAAATATAATTTGATCAATTCATGTGAGAAATTTCACGACATTTTAATAAATGATCCGAATCTATTGCAAAGTATTCACTCGGATAAAAAATATAACTGTGAAAGAAAATCATAATTTTTTTAATAAAAAGTTAATTAAAAACATAATATTCAAATCATCGTTTTTTTACAAATATTTTTATAGTTACCAATTGTTAATGATAAATATATTTTTGTATAATTATAGACAAGTATATGAATGTATACAATAAAATATATTTTTTGAATTATTGGTCTGCTTTCATAACTAAATTACAATTTTCATTTTCTTCCATTTGTCCCACTTTGTCTCGATAAAAAATGTGGTCACTTTATATTATAGAGTATTTTTTGCTTCGAGTCACATCAAAACAGGTTATATCTTAATGATTTATTAAAAAGCCTAGATATAATTCAGAAATAATTGAAAATTTTTCTGCTACTCTTTGAAAAAGAATAAAGAATTTTCAACTCAATTTTTTTCAATTTCAATTTGTTATATTATTTTTATTGTGTTATTTTACTGAGTCTCCCCCCTCCAATTTTGATGTATGTTCTTCATGTTAGACTGTCAGTCATCAATTTTTATTTAATTTTTATATCTTGATTATTTAATTAATTCTGCAGCATATACCAACTTTAATATACAAAGTATAGTCCTAATTTAGAAATTTCTAAACTAATGTTTATATATACAGATATATATAAATGTTGTATTGTTTTGAAATTATCAGAGCACACAACTAGACACAAGAGTTTTTTAATTTTTTTCACCTGAAAATTTACAAATATATTTTTTAGAAAATCATATGAAGTATAAAAGTAGTCACACAAAATATCTCAATAATATGCAACATAAGAGTGGAAATAAATCAAAAACCTAATAAATGACAAAAGGCACAAAAGCTTCAAGCCCTAGTCATTGCTTTAAAGCTAAAGTACTACCACTCATTTCTTAAATTTTCATGATTTTTTAGTTATTTCCAAACTTAGTTTAAATAGAATAGTTAACAGCAATAAATAACAACAGATTCAATCTTATCTCTTGATTTAACAAGCAATCTAAATATTATTAATCAAAATTTATTAGAAAATAAAGATTTTAAAGTACAAAGAATATGAAATTTTTAGAAAATCACTTTTAATTCACTGGGGGGGATGGAGTTTCAATTTACATATCAATTCAAATTTCAATATAAATTTTCACATTTCAAGGGAAAAATTTAAACATAAACTATTTTATACAAGTTTTCAAGATGTATTCACCTAGGTGAAGACATGCTTTAACATTGTAATCACATGCAAATCCTCTTTCTCCTATGAATGATTAAATGATGTACTTCAAGCAAATAAATTAGTGGTTATGACTGCAGACCTAAACTGCGTATTTCAACAGAAATAGCATTCCAAGGGATTTCAAAATATTAATCTAAGATTCAACAGAAATATAACTTGAAGCTCCCAGACTTTCCATTATTAATTGCAATCATTTTGCAAAGACATAAAACCACCAAAAGAAGCATGTAGTATGATACATAAAAATGTAGCTTGAATCATAGGCTGTTTTCTTCCAATAGTATCCATATAAATCCACCACTCTATATTTGCATTAATTCTGCTTTACATAAAAGACAAAATATTTCAAAATACAAAAATCCCATCCAAAATATCACATCAAGAAATCTCTTTCAGTATGATTTCTTGTACATCAAACATGTAATGGCACATATCTTTTATTTTCACAGTAACAGCATGCATATAAATTTATATAGAATAAGAAGAATGATTTTAAATAAGAACACAAAACTTGCTAAGTAGTAATTAAAATTATATAATATGACATAATGCTATAAATAATTTCATGGTAAACATTTCTTTCAGCTACAAATAAGTACGAACTCAGAAAATTAGGATATTTTTACCAATACGCCAGAAAACCATTATGAAATTATACTGAAAATTTAAAAACATCAATAATAACATATTTTATCTGAATGTGAAAAAAAATTCTGAACTTAAAATAATAACTATTTCAAATAATGTTCAGCCTTTTTTTAGTTGGATATAAACTAAACCCTATTAATGCACATACTGAGAAAAGCAAAATTCAAAACCATTCACGATAACATATGTATGTATGTATTTAACTATAAAAAGGACAAGGAAAATATTAAATGAACAGAATTAGTATATGAGATATAAACAATTTACAGCTGTTTCTCCTTTTTTAACTAAAATTTCACTGCAATAGTAAATAATTTAGCACAGTTAATATATTATTTTGGAAAGAAAGAAAAAAAAATAATTTTAACAGATAATTATCTAATATTTTTACTGTCAAGTTACAGAAAATTTTTATACACGCTGTTTTCTGCTCCACAGCACATACAAACATATTTAACTGAAGCACCATTTGAGCAAAGGAATCTGTTATATAAAGCCATGCAAACACTGTCTTTGGAACTTTTGCTTTTGGCAGTGGATATCACTGAAAGTCTCTTTCTTTCCAGTAGATCAAATTAAGTTCAAGGAGACAGTACAAAGAGTCTATAACCAGATCCTTCTTCACGTTGCCCTCTACTCACAGCTGAAATTAAAAATCAAGTCACTAATGTAATCATGAAAAAAATACCTTGAAATACACAAAGTACATTCAAGGAATTATCTGAAGGCAACTTATTTCACTTATTCGTAACTTTTCAAATTGCAAAGGCCACTTCATTGAATATTGCAGCTTTTTTCCACACTGCTTATCTTACCATGTCATAAATACTTTTTTTTTTTTTTTTTTTTTTGGACAATCTAGAAGACATCTTTATAGATTATTATGAAAACAAACTATAAATTACTGCATAAATTACAACAATAAATTCTGCTTTATCAGTACATTTAATTAGTATCTCTGAAGTTACTAAAAGTGTTAATAACATTACTACAGTATTTTCCTATAAATAATTTGTCACATATTTCAGATTATATATTTAAAATGCAATTAAGTAGTCGCACCCAAGGTTCAAGACTAACAGCACTTCTAGTGCTAAAAACAACTTGCTATTAATTTTTGAAATTATATTTATCTAACTCTATTTAACAAAAGTATTTTTTGTTAAATGACACTAATTAAACAACCTTATTTTAAAAAAATTAATAATAATAATAAACATGATCCTACACTTATTGCATCACTAATACATACACAGTCACACTAGATTCTAGTATGTGACAACTGAAAAGCTGCCTCTGGCTGTTTGCCTATGCTCAGTTAGACTTGTGTTGCATGCATAGCCTTGCAATGCCAATGTACAGTTTAACGAAAATTGCTAAAAAGCAAGTTAACCTCCTTAATTTCTTTTTTTAAAACAAGTGATTAATTCAAGTGAACTCAAGTAACAAATAAATTCCTACAACTGTTGAGAATGTCTGACGACCTAACTCAGCACAACTGAAGAGTCAAAGGCAGATCTTTCAATTATCATCAGCTAGACTCTTGTCACAGCCACACCTGCTTCCCCCTCCAAAGTTATCTGAGTAAAATACCAGATCAGGAAAAAACTGTTTTCCCTTTTATGACATATGTGTTATTTGCCTATTTTCTGTGTAGTCCTTTACCATGTTTTACAGATAGCTGGGTGGGAAACGTTGCGTAACTAGAAGTACAAGGTATTTTTTTCATGAAGCTTAATGCATCATTAGTGCAGCCACTATCTAGTTAGATTTTATTTGGAGCTAAGTGGCGGCCCGTTAATAAAAAAGTACCAAAAATATTTTTTACTGCCATGCACAAATAAGTGCACTCTTACCAAGTTATGAATTATTTCAAGGAAAATGGCTTTTCTTACCAGGAAGAGATGTTCCAAACATTTCTTGAGATGCATATGTTACATACAGGAATCCGTCCTCATCTTTACTTTCTAAGTACACTTCTGCAAGAGTTTTGGACATACTGGCAATACTCCTGTTGTTCATGAGCAAATAAAATGCTTGATTTTGTCCAAGATGCATACGGTTCCTAGTTTGAAATGAATTGAACACAATAATGAATATTACAAAATTTGTTTATACAATTACATTTTCCAATTAAAAATACTATTTATAATCTATAAATCATAACTATACAAGCAACATCATAGGGGCACAGTTCCGATCCTCCTAGCTGGCACAAGCCGGCCGTATGATCAAAATGTAAGTCTGGCCATAAAAAACAAACATAAGAAAAAACATATAAAGTCCAAAATCTGAATATCAGTGCCGAATTCTAATCCTATCTTTGTTTGAGTTTATAATCTTCATTATTGTCTCTGCAAATTTTTTTTCAAATTTGGATAGTTTCTTTTAAAATCTTCCTTAAAGTTCTTTCTATATTTCTCTCTTGCACTACAGGTAAGCGTAAATTCATCGACAAAGTGCCTGGCATCCTCAGACTTATCACATATTAAGCATTTATCATTATTATGTAGATGGAACCGATTAAAATAAGCCACAAAACGCCCATGATTAGTCAGTATCTGATTTATATCAACATTATTTATAATATTCATCATCTTATTTAATTTTATATTTTTCATTAACTCTTTTCCCCCTCCTCCCTTATTAGACGACTCCCAGCAAGTATTCCATACTGTATAAATCCAGTTTTGCATTTCAGCAATTGTCTTTTTTTCTTGAATCTTAGATATCAAAATTATCACTCCCACCTCCAAAACTATATATGCATAATGAACCTTTCTAAAAAGACCATGTGCAACTCCAGACAATTTTGGTTGTCTGTTGAGGTTTTCATCTGAGAAGTAATGATCAATACTGATGTATTTTTATACCGTTACTAGTAATTTTCAAAGGTGACTGTCCTAGCACGATGAGTACATTAGAAGGTTCATCGTATATGATATAATTTCATTTTGTGGTAATACTTTCCAATAAAAGTACTTACACAAAATTTCACGCCCAACATCCAGACCTCCGGCAATTTTTTCTTTTTTTTTGTAAAATTTACAAGTGGAAAATATACTAACTTTGAAAAAGCAATTATCTCTCCAATAACTAAGGTTTCTAAATAACTGAGGTCACTTTTAAATATGTGCTAGATGGAAAATCACACTGTGGCCAATGACAATAGATTGCCTGACATTCCTCAAGACATGTTTGTTTGGAGTGGGATGTTGCTAACACTGGTTTTCTTTTGTTGGCACAATAGCGGAAAAAGAGAAAGAATTAGATTCGGAAAAAATTCAGTTTACATATCAAATTACACTCTTAACATGTTGACTGACACGGCACTTTTCATATTCCGGTCCCAGAAGCCAAATCGGTTGAATCATATTATTAAAAATACTAATTATGATTCGTAACAACCATTAAAAAGTTTACAGGAAATTTTTTTTTGGGGGGGGAGAAAAAAAAAGGTCCTACGAATTATCTCATAGTCGGCTTGTATTAGACAAAGCTCTTTGCAGAAGCCCATTACATGTTGATTCTTACAGACATGCTTCGACTTGTTGTCTCAGTACAGCTAAAACAAGCGCTAAGCGAGTAAGTAACTCTTAGCGGTGCAAAAGTGACAAGTCAAGAAACTACAAGATAACTCGTATTGGGCATCCTGAAGAAGAGCGCTAATACGAGTTATCTCGTGTTGTGCAGTCAACATGTGACTAAATTCATTAAAATTGAGCAAGCTATTTTTATTACAGCCATCTTACTGAAATTAAAGTTTGATTTCAATTTCAATGAAAAGACTTCTTAATTCTAGAGCTGAACCAGAATAAAGAAAGTGAACGCATATTTTTCTTGGTAGCAGTATTTTCTGGATTTACAGTGTTACTGGTAATTTTCAAAGGTGGTAATTTTCTAGAGGCCTTAGCTTGAAAAAACTGTTACTGCAAATTTTGGCTTAAGAAGTGCAGTTTCAAAATTAGGCAAAACAGCAACCTTATTTTGCCACAGATTTTGAATGCCATAAAAGAAGTAAATTTTCCAATTTAATGGAATTTGAGAAGCAAAGTGGAGAAAAGATAATGAATGAAGATGATAAAAGTTCTCCAGTATGATAACAAACCATAACCAGTAATCGACCAATGGATGATGAAATCTGCAATATGGTTTAAATCCAATATTGCTACAAAGAAAAACACATATTTTTCAAGAACGAAAAGAATCCAGTAAGAATTTTTGGCATGGCAATTACAGGACATGAACAATGGAACTTCTTTAACTGAACAAAAAATTATGTCTGTCTATAATTAAAGAGAAAATATTAGCACAAAAATAAAAGAGCTTAAACAACTTTAACTGAAAGAAATGCTTAATAAAACCAATCAACGTTGAGCTTTTTTGTAAATTTTGATTCCCTTAGTGTTATAAATGTTTCATTAGTTCATAACAACTACTTCATATTTTTATTTCTTAACTTCTAAATGTCATTTTACTTGATTTAAGCTGATGATCTAAGAACCAGAAATTTTCCAAATATGGAATGGTCAAAGTCTCAATGATTCCGGATCTCAGATTTTGTACTGTACAGTAGTTTAAAAAAGTGCACAGATTTAAATAGACAAAATTTAACACAGATTTAAATAGACAAAATTTAACACAGATTAAACTACAAAAATTAAGTGCAGCATTAAAGAATATATAGGATGTAAGTAACAATAACTAATAAATATGGATAATACAAAATATAATTCTAACATTCAGTATATTTTGGAAACAATCAGTACACACTGAATGAAGTAGACAACACAGCATATTAGTGCTACAACAAATGCATCCTGAATATAGATTTAAGAATGTTGAAAATCTACTTTAAAAATTGAAGAAAAGCGTTTTAAAAGCATAAGCAATCGGGACGAAACTCAAAAACATGTACAATGGTTTCTACTGTATTTAACACATAAAAAAAGGTATACTGAATTAGATGCATACATTTAAAACTAAAGATAAAAGGATCATAATATGGTAAATATAAAGATGAAGTCACACAACAGAATTAGTTTGATAATTCTTGCTGAAATTATTATACATTCAAAACTGAAGGTCTCTATTATACGTCCAAAACTGAAGGTCTCTATTATACATCCGAAACTGAAGGTCTCTGGTTAATGAGAGTACAAGTGAACTCTAATTATATTGTAAAATTATCCAGATCACTTTTTTACTGTTGAGAATAAAATCTCACTGAACTGGGTGGATACTGATGAAAAAAATTCAAGTTGCAGTATTAAAGGCAAGAGAGGTATTTGCCAATCATTTCAAAACTCAACCAAGCACCTTACGTGAGAAACTTTCTAAAGATGATTAAATCAGTTAATTTCCTATATATTCTGATGAGTCTACTGTATTTTAAAATAACTTTGCTAAAAAGTGTTTGCAAACTAGCATTATAATAAGAGTTTTATAATGCGTATGTGCTTTAATACTTTTGAGAGAAAATAGCATTAGTGCAATTCGGGATTAAGAAAGTGCAATTTGTTGCTGATAGTTACAAGCATGCATGAAAATGTTTATTCATTCAAAACCCACAAGTTATTTAATATATACATATAAAAGCAATTTAATATAATTTTTACTTATTAAACTATTTAATAATTTTGTAATTTATTGTAACATATAATTAAATAAATTGTAAAATTCTCTTTTATTATTTTATTTAAAAAAATATACATTAACGTACTGGAAAATTCATTTTTTACACTTTCTGGCAGCTACAGTTCAGCAGTTGCTGCTAATGCCTCAAACACATTACCAAGATCAGCTTAATGCTTAAACATGAGCTCTGCTGGGTAGGTCATCAGGTGATGGTGACTTGTACACACCCATGGTTTTTGTTCCGCCATTTCGCCGATTCCCACAAAGATTCAACTTCCTGAGTACAAACTCAAGTCATGAATTTACAAAATTATGGTTCACCATAATGGGTTAGAAACCAGATTCCTCAAGTTTTTCATTTTCATAACTGTTCGATCAATTTGTATATAATGGAGGTTCTCAGCAAGGGGATAATTGCCTGTTAAGCACTTAGTTTTAATTTATGAATGTACGAGGGCTGTTCAATAAGTAATAAGACTAAAATTATAAAAAACACAGAATACCTTTAATCGTCATAATTTACATGGTCTTTTTCAAAATAACTACAGCGGCATGCAATGCATTAATCCCAATGTTCTGTCCACTTCTGAAAAACATGTAAAAGTCTGTTTTTTGAGAGCTTTTTCAAAACTGTCTCCACAGCCTTTACACATTCTTTGTTGCTTGCAAAATGTTTGCCTCATAATGGTTTTTTAAGTTCAGGAGACAGCTAGATATCGCATGGAGCGACAACAGGACTGTATGGAGGGTGCGGTAAAATATCTACATTGTTCTGCTGCAAAACATTCTGTACGCAATGAGCAATATATGGCCAGGCATTGTCATGATGCAATAGGAAGCCATTTCAGAGCAATGGACATTTCCTTTGAACATTCTGTACCATTGTTCGTAGGACATTCGCGTAGTACGAGCTGTTTACAGTATTACCGGGTTCGACAGCATGTTGATACACAATTCCTTCATAATCAAAAAAATTATAGTCATAATTTTACCAGCTTATTTCACAGTTTTTGCTTTCTTGGGAGTAGGCGAATACAGATGCTTCCATTCACTACTTTGTTATTTCATGGTTTCTTTTCTATGCCACAGAAATTAACATTCCGATGAGTGGTTTCGCAGCAGTAAAATTAGTCTTATTGAACAGCCTATGTAAAAACTACTTTTATTCAAGCTTTTTACTAGCAGCACTTTGTTTGTTACTTTTTTCTACCAGCACTTTGCTGTTTAACAATGTTCATTGTTTTTTTAGTATGAATTTCTGTCGTTATTTTTTTATTTTTAATTCTTTGAAATTTATTTTAGTTTATTTTGTTGATTAGTGCACAATGTTTAGATTGTGCAATTCATAGATGTTTTTTAAAGTTTAAACACAACGCTGTGTACATGATATTATATTAATTTATTAAAGAGAGGTGTGTGTAGTTTGTA